GCCCAAGCTTTCCACCGAAGCCTGGCAGAAAGGTCGAGCCGAAGGGCATGGTCAAATAATTAGATGTGATCATTGAAGGTCCCCAAGAAGTGGACCACATTCTTGAAGCATGCTTTCAAGCCAAGAACACGCCCTCACGCCATCAAGGGTTTTCACCGGAACAAAAAGCACTTGGGAAGTCCACTAGGTTGTCTGCTTCACTAACCAGCGATGAACATGTATCAGCTCACAGCCTTACCGATGGTTCAGACTTGGAATGTGAAAAGTTCCGGAGATACTTGCGGGGAAGCACGTTCTCGAGCTCGCAAGATGTTTCTTCTTGCGGCCAACGATGCCGCGATCCGCAGAGCTTTGCTCAGAAAATCGAATCCCCACACCGGCAACTTTGAGACCGGTCAAGATGTGATGTATTGGCGCAAGAAGCTACATTCATGGCCGCCGTGAGGCCGGGCGATGGCATGGGCCAGCTCGAGTTGCATGTTGTGAGGGACGTCGAATATCTGGGTATCGCATGGCAATAGGCTGTTGAGGTGTGCTACTGAAAATCTCCGACCGGCGTCTTTACGTGAGTCGTGAGTGGCACCGATCCCATGCCTCTCTTGCATGATCAACATGTAAGAGAGATTCAACAACCCCAAGATGCAGGTAGACATGAACATCCCGAGAGATTGCCTGAAGAAATGGAGACGCCACCCGAAGAGACATACTCTCCTGGCACATCCTTGGATGAATCTCAAGCTCCTGTCAGCCATCAGACTAGCGTACAACCCGAAAGTGAAACATTTCCGACTTCTCGAACACTCCACTATCCACACCACTACAACTTCCACAACAAGAACCTCAAACCCATAACTTACCCCATGATAAGCCTCCCGGTTTTAATGAAGATAATTGGTCACAATCGGAGCATCCTGAAGAGTTGGTACAAGTTGCCTCCGGGAGCAAGAGAGCCTCAGAGCAGATGTTCAGCTTAAAGATCTGTCAGCTGAAGAAAAGAACCTTTTCTCTCTTGCCAAGGAAGCAGAGCTCTCTTGTTGGCTCCAAACAAGTGCCCTAAAACCGGTTTTGAGAAAGCACTTGAACCCCGAACAGGTCCTTAAATCCAAATGGGTTCTCACTTGGATAAATGTGGAAAATAGTTCTCAGGGTAGTTCCAGCAAAGCAAAGGAACGCCTTGTTGTCCTTGGATATCAAGATGCACGTTTAACAGAAGTGCAAACAGACGCACCCACATTTGACCAGAGAGGGAAAACACACAGTACTCCAGTTGTAAGCATCTCAACAATGGGTTCTCACATCCTTTGATATCAAGACAGCATTCCTCAGGGGTAAAGCTGTCAGTCATAATCCACCTGCCATGGAGCCTCCAAAAGAGTTACGTGACCGCATGCAACTTGATCCTGACCTTTTTGCGCCTTGATTGGAAATGCATATGGAAGGGCCTTCTCTTCTATAAGGAACTAGCCAAACAACTCAAGAACTTAGGGCTCACGATGCGTCCATTTGAGCCTTATGTACATTATCTGGAATCTTGGAAAGATGGTCACCGAACACTTCATGGAGTTCTTGGCGCTCATGTAGGTGATGGTATCTGTGGAGGTGATGAATGGTTTCATTTCAGCATAGAAATGCTTCGTCGGAAACTGCCTTTTGGATCCTTCAAGCAGCGTAAGTTCGTTTTTACTGGTATTTAATTGGAACAACTTCCTGACCATAGCATCCGAGCGAATCAAGGTGAATATGTTCGAGCAATTCTATCTATTGAAGTTGGTAAATTATCACAGAAGCTATCCTCAAGATCCAATCACAGAAAAGGATTGTCCAATCTCAGAGGTCTGATCGGAAGTTTACAGCATGCCACGACCCACACAAGACCAGATGTTGCTGCAAAATTGGGAGAGATTCAGGTACCGGTGCAACTTTCGAAACCCACAGTGTCGACTTGCTGGAAGCCCATAAAAGTCCTGAAGGAAGCTCAGCAAACAGAAGACGTCAGTATTTGTGTGATGCTTCCTTTGCAAGTCCCAAACAGCTCGCATCTTTTCAAAGCACCATGGTATCCGCAACAACAGCTTCATGACATAAAAACAAGAAACCACCAATCAGTCCAATTTCAAGGTCATCCAAGAAATCTCAAGAGTAGTAAGATCGACGTTGTCAGCTGAAGCTTTCTCCATGTCACGGGGCGTTGACAAGATGGGATGGTGTCGCTTGCTCTGGGAAACATTGATGATACCCGGCTTTCAGTGGAGAAATCCGCCCGAAGCTTTTGATCAAATGCACGCTGCCATCATAGTCACGGACTGTAAATCTCTGTAATTATGATGCTAGAGCAGTGTCATGTCAGGTGGACTCCCACTGCTTTCCAATTAGCCGCTCCTCTCACGAAGAATATGGACTCTTCTTTACCCAGAGCTGCTTTGGAAAAGGGATCATTCCAGTTACTTGACGAAGATGCCAGTCTGCAAACCAACGCCCATCGAAAGCAAGCGCTGAGGGAATCACATCACAGAATTCTTAGGGAGTGTGAATTCCACTATATGCGTGCCTTGATGTGATTCTTGCAGATGTCATTTGCAAGCCAACATGACCCCGAATGCTCATGTGGCCCCTCCGGTTCGAGGCTGTATGAGGAGGGTATAGGGCTGAGGTCTAGCTGAGGACAGCCATGACTTGGCCTTGAGCGGTGAGCCTGAAATGGTCGCTACACATTTGGGTGCGGGACACCTGATTTCATATCTTGTTGGATCGGATTCAACATCTCTTTGTCATCTGACCGGATTCAGATCATTTGGGATTATGGTGAAAGCAGCCGCTACCAGTTCACATTATACATGTACTGTATGTGTATACAGTATATAAGTATAAGTTTTCATATTCTACCAGTAGTATCAGTAGTACCGCTCAAAACTAGGAAACCTATAGGAGAGGTTGGCTGTTGTGAACCACGGATGGCAGAGCGAATCCACTGATGCACTGAAAGTAGCTGGAATTGTATCAGGGTTCAGATAAGGGGGAGGACTTGTGCAGAGGCTTTTGGTAGGTACAAAACGCAATGCATACGGTGCGCAACTACAAAATTCAGTGCATGGTACCTTTTTTGCAGCTACAAAATACAGAACACAACCTTTTCTGACTCGGAAAGTACTTCAAAATCAGTACTACAAAATCCAATGCATCTGAAGGTAAAACATAGCTGAAAATCGGAATTGCTAACATGATTTTTCCCAATGACATTTTGTAGTTGGGTCTATGCCATCCAAAGTTCGGACCAACATATTTTCGGAGAACATTTTGTAGTTGTCAATGATTGAATTTAGTTGGATCAAGTGTTGACCCCTTGCAGTTTGTTAGATGGCATTCTGTAGCTTCATGACTGATTGTGTCCATGTACATGTCACGCACTGTTTCCCTTTTTCCCCCTCTTCTCACTTCAACATATACAACTACAAAATGCAAATGAGGATTTGAAAGGAATCAACTACAAAATGAATGCAAATCCAAAAAGGTGGTCCCAACTCCTCCTTTTTGTACAAAACGACCCCTGGCTGGCACTCTGTACTGTAGCCCAAGTCCTCCCCTTTACATAGCTAAAATTTGAAGGAGGATGGAATTCTGGAATTGTGTTTTTTGGAGTAGTTACAATGGTTGCAGTGGTCACCTGGTCGGTCACCTCACCCACAACTGCTGGATGTAGTTGTAGTTGTAGTGTGGTGGAGTTGTAGTTGAGGTGTAATTAGTGTAATTAATTAGTGTAATTAGTGTAGTTGCAGTTGCATTTGTGGTGGTGTAATGAATGTAGTGTAATGTACTGTACTGTAGTGTAGTGTAGTGTAGCCTAGTGTAGTGTAAAGTAAAGTAGTTGTAGTGGTAGCTGTAGCTGTAGTTAGTCTAGTGTGGTGCGGTGTGGTGTGGTGTAGTGGGGTGTAGTGTGGTGTGGTGTAGTGTGGTGTAGTGTAATTAGTGTAGTGTAGTGTAGCGAAGTGGAGTGTAGTGCAGTGTAGCGTAGTGTAATTAGTGTACCGTAGTGTAGTGTAGGGTAATGTAGTTGTAGTTGTAGTTGTAGTTGCAGTTGTAGTTGTAGTGTAGCGCCTGTAGCGTAGTCTACTTGAGTGTAGTGTAGTGAAATGGAGTGTAGTGTAGCGTAGTGTAGAGTAATTAGTGTAGTGTAATGTAATGTAATTAATGTAGTTGTAGCTGTAGTTGTAGTTGTAGTTGTAATGTAGTGTATTGTAGTGTAGTGTACTTGAGTGTAGTGTAGCGTAGCCTAGTGTAGTGTAGTGTAATGTAATTAGTGTAGCGTAGTGTGATGTATGGTAGTTGTAGTTGTAATTGTAATTGTAGCTGTACTTGTAGTTGTGGTTGTAGTTGTAGTGTGGTTTCATGTAGTGGAGTGGAGTGTAGTGTAGTGGTGGTTGTAGTTGAAACTGCGACAAAACCCTCACATTTTTGCTCGCTCGCCAGGTGCACAATCCCTTGCGCCTGCCACACGAAACGACATCTGAACGTCCAAAAGTGGACCGATCATGTGGTGCTTTTAACATTTTGACTCGTAAATGTGCTCCGCGCCACAACGACGTGCACTTTTTCGACATCTCATCTCAACTTCCAGAAGTGCTCGACGTTGGTGTGCTTTGCACATTTTGACTTCGAAAATGTGCTTCGGGCCACAACTCTCATCTGGCCAGATGGCTCTGCACCCGCCGATTTAGCGAGCCTTCTTGTCGACCCTCCGGAGCCACAAATCATTGGAAAAACACAGTGTTTCGCGACTTTCCTACCTTTTGCGCGCTTGCATCTTCTTTCTTCTGACTCTTCTCTTCTCTGATCTTCTCTCTTCTTCTCTTCTATTCTCTGACTCTTCCCACCTCTGCTTTTCCATCTATCCATATTGTTGGAAATTTGACTTCAAAACTTCCTTCGATTATTATCGATTGTTGATCACGTATCGATTGTTGATCACGTCCAGGGGGTATCATGTCTCTTCTTCGCCGCTTTGCCTTCATCATCCTGTCCAGCTCGGCATTACTCAGCTTGTCGCCCTGCAACAAAACTGAAAGAGAGTTGAATCAGAGTCTCGAAGAGAATCAAAGAGAATGGAACAAAACTGCGCCAATGGAACCTGATCTTTAGGATCTCTGATGCTCTAGTCTCATCTAGTCTCCATGGTTCGTGGAATGCCCACAGCTACAAATTCAAGCGGCTTTCAGTTTTGAAAGCCAGCCAGGTCTCATCACTGGTCCACTGGACAGCTTGACAACACAGGGCCAGAAAGTGGAAGCGAATACCGCGTAACGCCTGTGACGTCATGATGTGCCCCAGCATCTCTTTGCTGATCTTGCCATTGCCTCGAAAGTGAAACATGACTCGAAATTCCGAAACCAAAGGCAGCTTGTTGCATCTTGTTGCTGTCAAAACTGCAAATGTTCTGCAGGGGCAAGCCTTCGGTGTCAAAGACCTTGAAGCAATCTGTAAGGATCGCTACCTGATCATTTTGAAGCCATTCAGACAATCGCGGCTCCATCAGTGTGCGGAACTCTTCGAACCTGGGCAAAACCAGTGAACAGGTGTCAGCAACCCGTGCAGCAAGTGCATCTTAAGCTTCGAGAAACTGAAGCACCAAAATTGAAAAAACATCCGCATTCGGGGCAATCTCCAGCAACAAGAATCCACAAATTTAATCATCTGGACAAGGCACTCCAGCTTTCCGTTCTTGTTTTCATCCACACTTTCCATTGCCACCTGCACCTGTTGCGCACTGCGCCTTCTTCCAGAATGTTCCAATAGCACCACTATCATCAATTCAAACCAAATCTCAACTCAATCTTTTGGACCTTTTGGAGAAGGTGCTCACTGCGCCATGATACGCATACGGGCCTCCTTCTCAGTTGGATTCATTCCCAGCAGCCGCATGCATTTCCTTGCGAGGCACAAACCACGTTGAACAATGGGCAACCACCAAGGAATCTGGATTATGCTGATTGCAGTTTAGTGTCCCCAGCTCAGTGACATCAATGTTTCCACTTTTGTCCATGTCGCAGCGGTCGAAGACCGCCTGTATGGAGCACAAGGGAAAAAGAGAAGAACTTGTCTCAGCTAGTGCATTGGCTGAATATACTGCAAACATATAGGTATGTCCATTATAATTGCAGGCAAAAATTAAGGGACCGGATAGCCCCACAAGTCAACTTCTTTCTATAATGAGCAACAAATGTTGTAGCGGGGACAGGGAAGGAAGGAAAGACAAAGGAGGTGGTGGAGGATCGAGAAGTAAAAAAGTTGTGTGTGAAGAGTTGTGTGTGACAAAGCATGTGAAAGATGGTGTGTTACAAAGAAAGATGGTGCGTGTGACAGTTGTGTGAAAGAGAGGGTGTGACAAAGTTGTGTGAAAGATGCGCAAAGAAAGCTCAATGTACTGTCTTGAGACCAACAAAGCTCAACGTACTGTCTTGAGACCAACAAGACCCAGCCCCGCCCTTTTGCACGAAGCAAATGAAAGACATCACTGTGCTATGCAATCGGCTCTCCTGCAGTCTCCACACGCACGTGTCGATCGCAGTGCCCAAACTTCGGAAACAGTTCTTCACAGGACGCGTCAAACCATTTCTTAGGCAATGACACATGAATGATTCATTCGCGAACTACCAAATCATTCATGAAGCAATTTTGAGGTCAACACGCGAATGTCACAAGCATTGTCACCAAAATTCTGAACATGACAATAGAAATGAAACGTCGCACATTGCATCAACCCATGCTCTAAAGGTTGTAAACAACATTGTTGCAGTATGCTGCAGTTTCATCTCCAAACAGAAAAGACTTGACAACACTGCACGGCCGAAGCTACTGTGCACTCCTTGCTGGCGAAGATATTTTTCACAGCAACAAATGGTTCTTCACACATTGCGTCAAACCATTTGATGCACCATACTCAAAGACGTGTACAATTACATTTCAAGCAGAAACATATCTTGCTCGCAAGGAATCTCAATGACGGTCATGAGAACAGCGTCGCTTCATCGCGCGTGACATCCAGCAGGTGTCTGGCAGCAATGCGAGCGACATACAGTACCAAGAAAGTGGTCTACCAAAACATGGACAAAACATCGAACAACTCTGACAGCAAAGAACGTGGTCTATCAAAAACTTAAGCGCCTGGCTTGCACGTTGCCCGTGGGCTCCAGCATCTTGGGCCAGCGCCTGACAGCAAAGAAAAACCATCAAAAACCGACAGTGAGTGAAGTCTTGACAAACACACTGTGCAAAACCAGCAGTCACGGGCGCGATGATCACGAAGGATGAGAATAGCACCTGGCCGGAAAAGAACAAAACATGCCAACATTGCTTCCAGAATGTAAACGTGCCAGCATCGCTTCTAGACCGTTTTGCTCAAACATGCACAAGGCCTCTTCCCACGTTGGGCCAAAGCGTTAAACATGCCGTAACATGCCAACATCGCTTCCAGAATGTAAACCTGCCAGCATCGCTTCTAGACCGTTTTGCTCAAACATGCACAAGCGCCACCAGAGCCAGGCAAGTGCAACAAGTGCCACGCCTGCCACGCCAAACGCAAATAGATATCTCCAAGTGTGCCAGGTTAAACGAAGGTGGATGTCACGAAGTGCCACGCCTGCCACGCCAAACGCAGGTAGATGTTTCCAAGTGCCACGCCTGCCAGGTGAAACCCAGGTGGGTGTCACGAAGTGCCACGCCTGCCACACAAAGTGGCGCGGCGCCCCGGGCGACCAACGGCGACCAAGCGTGCCACCCCAGCCAGCCAAGTGCAACAAGTGGTCTCCAAAAGCCATGCCAAGATGGTGTGGGACAAAGTTGTGTGTGAAAGATGGTGTGTGACAAAGTTGTGTGTGAAAGATGGTGTGTGACAAAGTTGTGTGTGAAAGATGGTGTGTGACAAAGTTGTGTGTGTGAAAGATGGGGTGTGTGACAAAGTTGTTGGTAAAAGATGGTGTGTGTGTGTGACAACGTTGAGTGTGAAAGATGGTGTGTGTGTGTGACAAAGTTGTGTGTGAAAGATGGTGTGTGACAAAGTTGTGTGTGAAAGATGGTGTGTGACAAAGTTGTGTGTGAAAGATGGTGTGTGACAAAGTTGTGTGAAAGATGGGTGTGTGACAAAGTTGTGTGTAAAAGATGGTGGGTGACAAAGTTGAGACAAAAGTGTGTGTGCGAAAGATGGTGTGTGTGAAAGATGATGTGTGACAAAGTTGTGTGAAAGATGGTGTGTGAAGAGGGGGCGGCGGAGGAGGAGAGGAGGATGAAGAGGCGGCGGCGGGTTGTACAGAATCAAAAACAAGAACCCCACACAAAGATGTGGGGAATAATGTCTTGCCTGGATCGCTTGCCCTGTGTCGGAGTTTGCTACCATACCTCTCTCCTCAGATGGCAGTAAAGTAAAGGTCGGTATACAGTAACGAAACGGGAAATCTACCCAAGCAATAAAAAAAACGTGTAGTTTATACATGCACGTATATATCATTTACGTTTTTCTTGTGGAAACAGTGGCAACAGGTCTTGCTGCCTTTCTGAAGGGGCCTGCAGTGGTTTGTCAAATGAATCGCTATTGTGGAGGAAGGAGTTCTTGTAGCACTTCTAGTCAGACTCCACACCAGCAACCAGGCTTCAGGGTCCATTTGTGTGTTCAATGGGGTCCTTGTCGTACCGAGTTAAAGCACTGCCGCCACGTCCACTAGCTTGTAAACTAAATAAGTATGGGCCGATGAGTTGGACAATCAATTTATATGCACAAACAATCACAAAAATAATGAATAATTAAATATAATTAAATATTAAATATGAATAAGACAGCACAGAAAAACGTTTCCTTAGGCCAGTACTCAAGTTGAGGCCACAAAACCAATTCAGCGCCGCTCAATCTACGTGGCTGCTGAGCACATCCGAAAGCTGCAGATGGCTTATTGGAAGCTGCTCATGCATCAGCACTGCTCAACGATTCGTCCCGTCTGTCCAGGCAACACCTTTGCAGCCCATGAACTTTAGAACCTACCCAACCTATCCCAACCATTCCCAACCGATAGACCCCCTGCCAAGGACCGGACTTTCACCCGCCTGCTCAACTCGCGTCAAGGCCTGGGACATCTAAATAGTTCAACTTGTGGACCGAAATTTAGAGAAGCGCAGTCTCAGCCTGCTGATAGGCTGCATTGGCCTGGAAGTTGGAGACTCAACAGACTCAACAGAATGCAACAGACTCAACTCAAATCTCAATCCCAAAGCACACAGCAACACGGCAGACTCGCAGCCCATAGCTGCCATGCCGTAGCTGCCATAGCTCGATGCTCTGTCAGCTCTGTGCATTGTGTGCCCTCGCCTTCTGGACAAGTCTTGAGACACTCCAATCGGGGCTGGTAAGCCTGGCCAAAACAACTGCAAATTACTGCAATATGCTGCAATCATTTGGAATATCATGCGACGATGTCTCGCTCGCCTGTAACTAAGGGGAACGATGATGAAGCTGTAGATGTAGGGCCTGGGTCACACTTCACACAAAAACCAAGCCGCTCCATATATACAGACATTTGGTGAGACTGGTGCACAATTGAAATTGCAGTAGAGTCAGTAGAGCGCACTCAGGTAGTGTCAACAACAGCCCACTGCGAATCACAGCACTCTTGGATGGCGGCAGAAATACAGCAGACAGCCCACGGCGTTGATACCTCGGACATGACAGAAACATTTCTGTATGGAATGACCGGCTTAAGGGCAGGATAAGGAAGGACGACGGCGACGGAACCATTTCACAAAGAGACTCTGCTGCTAAGGCTGCTAAGGAGAAAACAGTGCCCACGTGGAAAAGGATGCCATCATGACCTCAGGCAATCTACATGACAACTTGGATCAACTTGGTGCAGGATACAGTGCAGAAGCACCAAAGGATGAGCCAACGCATCAGCCAACGCATGAGCCAACATGAAACTGGCCGAGCAACACCCGAAAGGCCACTGATCAAAACACCTGTCAAAGCATCACAGCCAGACCTGCCACAGATTCGTAGGAAGGCGCAAATTTGAACCAACGGAGACTCACCAAACTGAAACGCAAGCGGTTTATTTCACTGTAAGAGTTTATGTGTTCTATGATGTTCTATGTATGTATCACTATCTATGTCGGCAATCCGAAACTAGTTGCTCTGTTTTTCCAATACTGAGCACCAGTTTTGAAACACGAATCACGCAGTGGCACCATCTCAAAGTTGTTGATTTAATGCAAGCCCTTCCCAATCCAGTACATGTACAGTGCCTCACGTCCGAACATATGCGAACATCAACATCTTCTATTCGAACACTGCCGTGATGTAGCAATTTGTAGTAGTTCCTTGTACAAAATAGGAAGGTATACGAATCAGATTTCAGGCAGTGCAAGAAGTACAAGCGCTGGCACTGTCTGAGCAATAGAGTATGGGTTCCAAGTGAGGCGCATGTTCGAAAAGTAGCTCCGCCTCGGATTTGCATCCATCCATATGACATATGAGGAAGGTGCTGCATGCCGCTAAAGCGAAAAAAGACAGCATCATGCCGCATGCCAGAAAAGATCCAAGTCACAAGAGGCTGCTCGTTGCCGTTTTTCGCCACAGCATGGAAACCCTTGCCTGGACAACGGCAAGAGCAGTCCATGCATAGCTGCCAGTAATCTTTCACTGGATGCTGTTTCATTTATATTTATTTACTGCAACTCATGAATGTCCACACACACACACACACCTTGATACAAGGCTGATCTGCAACTCGTGACAAAAGACCGACATGGACAGGCAACAAATGAATGTTTGGACTGGGGCAGTTATAGTGGCACAGCAATATTAAAAGTGCTGCCTATACAGCACAAACAGAGACCAAAATCACGTGAACTCGGCTCTATCGCCAAGCTAGGGAACCAATACAGGTTGTGGCTCAAGCACTCTCTGTAAGAGGTCAAAGAGTCAAGGTTTCGCCTGCACGTACTTTGTTGTCTGAGACAGCAAAGCACTGGCCAGAATTGCGAAAGGAAACTTGGCCAATGCTTTGAACCACCTCATGGCAAAGGTTATAGAAAGTTGGGATGGACAACTTTGGTAAACTGCTCCTAGGAAGAAAAAATAAAATTGTCATTTGAGGTTCAGACTCCTTCCAGCGACCCAAGTTCTGACCAGTCACGAATTCTCGCATTAACCATGCCTCCGAAAAGTGCCGGGGCAAATTTTGTCGTGGCAGGAGACGAACATGCTGAACAAACAAACAAAAACAGCAAGTTGGATGCAGGGGATCTTCCAAGCCAACAAGAAAACAACATAACATCATATACACAAAGAACAAAACAAAGAGTACCGAAAGGGCACTATGCAAAGTGCAGGAAGGCCTTGTACAGCATAAGCCAAGCATTCAAACCAGACGCCACAAATAGCACAACTATCTCCGGTCCTTGTGTGCCACAGCTCTAGCAGGCAGGGAAGTGTCCAATACCGATACCCAGTAAACTAACATCACAAAAGAATCCTCTCCAAGTCCACAAACAAGAAATGTCGAGCACTCCTGCTGCAAAGCGCCCAGCAGTTTGCAAGAGGTCGGTAAAGCGTTTTCGACGGCACCTGAGTTTCAATGGTGACAATCGATGACAATGTCATCACCTGTCATCCAATGTCAGCGCGTTTCATCACTTTCATTGCTCTAGGGCTGAAGCGATTCCATCCGAAATTGTGGAGGAGAGCTATCTGATTTCCTGAAGTGTCAGTGGAAACATGGAGTTTTTGGATGAATTTTGACTGAATTCTGTTCGCCTTCTCCATCTTCCAAGTTGCGTTGCGCAAATAACAACAACCTAAAGATGTGTGCATCGTTTGCAATCGAAAAATCAGAAATTGCTTCCGCAACGAGAAAGGATACTGGGTCCCCACAGCTGTGGCAAACCATGTTTTCCAAAGTTTCGTGGCCTCCAAACGAACAGATTCCGCACCCCTTTGTTTTGGTCACCAAGCCACCAGCCACCACAAGAAAACAATGGCAAGGCCTTGTGGAAACCAAGTTGGACAAGAATTGCCTGACAAATTTGGACGCAACTGCTGGACCTGCCTTGATTTCAATAAAAAGGTATGCGGATTCAACCCAAATTTCGGATCACCTTCACAAGCTGCAAACCACGACCATGAATGGGCCTCAAGTCAAAGTGCAAATGTTTATGCCCCACAGCTGCTCAGTTCAAAATATTCAAAACTTAAAAACTTGGATCCAGACAAATGCTGACCCAACAGTTCTCTACCCGCCACCTGAGTGCACCAGAATTTTTTCCTAATGGGAACAGCGTGTCCAAACCTGAGCACCGCACCGATTCCATGTCAGAATCTGTGCATTGCAATAACCAACGGTTCCAACATGTTTTTTGTCAGCCACAATCTATTGTTTTGACTGAGTGCATACAACATCATTAAAAATAATTTATAAATAAGATGGGCGGAATAGTGCTGCATACTTGCCCTTGTTGGATCAGGTTATGGAGTTTGACTGCAAAATTGGCAAATGTATAATATATATATATATACATTGTGAAGATGTTGCATGTTTTTTGTTATTCCTGTTTATGTCGTGGCTTCGGTAGAACAAATGTCGTAGAACGGGAAGAAAGTGTGCCAAACATACAAACTCGAAATACAAAATATTTTTTGGAGGGTGAAAATATGCCCTGCAAGACACCATCATTAACCACAAGTCAAACAGGTTGCAAATGCATAAGTACACCTCATGGACCAGAAAGATACAAAAACAAGGACCGTATGGCACAAACAAATGGAACAAATTCGGACATCATATACAATTCAAACAACACATAACTACACCTACGGCCATATACATCCATATGCATTGAAACCGTTCCCTGTTGGACAACATATTTCGCAGTCAACAACATGTTCCAACCACACAGTTTTTGGGGGCCTTCACTGGGGCCTTCACTTGTTCAGTTGCAGTATTGTTGTCTTTGTGCACACAAGACAAGTTATCATACATCGACTTAGTTTACCTTTTCTGTCTCAATTGCACATGTTTGTTGGAAGTATCCAATTTCACCGTTTTGTGGAACTTGTTGGCGCAACAAAGGGCCTGGAGGGGGCATGTCCTTCTTCAGGCAACGGTATAGATTGATGGCGTGGGGTGGGCGGGTGGGCAGGAATAATGTTCAGGCACCGATGTTTGATGTTACGCTGTGGCCTCCTCACTTGAACTTACATGTGCAATCTAGCTATATCTAGCTCAGACGATCCCTTTGAACCTATGCAAAACACAAAATGTCCCACTTTTTTTTAGCAGTCTGCCACCAACATCCTGGCAAAGCGCGAACATTAATAGTCGCCACATAAAAAGCGCCTCAATCAAGCGCCCTTCCGTTGAGGCAGTTTGAGCCCTGATTCACATGAGTAGCGGACTAAGTTAAGTTACTTGTTAAATTTCTGCCATGCACAAATTAGGGTCGTCCCCTATCGGTTATGAAGGCTTTGTGCAACCTCAGAAAGACCAAAGCGAAGCAAGACTAAATCAAGTATTACAATAATTTTGTCGTTTACTCACATGTATTTCCATCATCCCATGTCTTTGGAAAAGCAACCCCCTGGCATTTATATGCCTAGCATTCTATAATATCTTCTATCTCTTTATCCACCTCCTACATAATTACTGTACCTACCTACCCTGCTACCTACCTACCGACCTACCTACCTACACACCTACCTACCTGCCTACCTACATACGTACGTATTCACCTACCCACCTGCTTCTGCTGACCCGGGCGTCATGACATGGCGAGATCTACGGCCGCCCAGAAGTACCCCTTAGTTTCAACGCACCTTTCCGCAATTACGTCAGCTCTGTTTAGACCTGAAATCACTCCAACCCTTCCAACACCAAATCCCCTTGCCCAATTGCCAGACCATGATATTGTTTTGAACATCCTAAATCTTCTGCTTCATTGACTTTAACCTTCACCAACATCATTGCCATGGAAAACGTTGATGGGAGATCTAGCGATGAAAGCCTCGTTGAAGACCTGGGAGCGCAATTTCACCCGCTGACATTAACGCGAAGACTTGCGCTTGAAAATGATGTTGACGCCCCAACTACTATGATTCGAAGTTCTCTTGTATTGGTTGCCTGCCCAAAACCTACCTTCTGTGCCCCTCCTTTGAAGTTTTTGCCTGAAGATGCTAGCTTCGATCCTTGTAGGAATCTAGATGAGATTCATGAAAGGATCGAGAGTTTCGATGGTGCCCTCAATCTGCGATCATTAGATCTCTTTGCTGGGTCTGATATTTTGAAGCCCAATGCGGGAAGAATGATATGACATCTGTTAGCTACGATGTTCTGAGGGATCGGCTAACAGTCCTACCCACACCGCAGCTTAGCCAAAACGTCACGTGCTTGGGGTTGAATAATTTGAATAGGAACATGTCTGAAGACACTGAAGACTGCCTTGTGTAGATGGCCTCTCCAAACTTGGCGGAACACCCCGGCGATAAGATATCGTGACCAAATCGCAGGCGTCGGGTTCCTTTTTTCGCACAACTTACCTTCGAGTTGTGGCCGCCGGCCAGGTTCACTTGGGCACGGAAATAATACGAATTGTCATATTAGTGATTTAGATCCCCCCCCCTTTAAGGGGTAAAAACTGAAATATTTCACTTTAGGGGGGGGTCTCCCCCCCCCACACACCTTGAAATATTTCACCTCCTAAAGTGAAATATTTCAGCTAAAAAATTCTGGTCTATAATGGCTTTGGGCGTGGTTGAATTCAAGGCTGGACCAAGGGGCTCCTCCAGGGATGGCAATGGATTTTATTGGGGGGGGACCCTCCTAGAACTGTAAAATACCATGGTTTTGCACCTACCCCCCCTCAAAAATTTCACCGTGACATTTTTTACCCCCAGGGTAGAAAACAACAAGGGGCTCCTCCAGGTCGGGTAATGTTTTTTTTTGGGGGGGGACCCTGCTAGAACTGTAAAAAACCATGGTTTTGCACCTACCCCCCTCAAAAATTTCACCGTTGCATTTTTTCCAACCAGGGTAGAAAACAACAAGGGGCTCCTCCAGGGATGGCAATGGATTTTATTGGGGGGGGACCCTGCTAGAACTGTAAAATACCATGGTTTTGCACCTGCCCCCCCTCAAAAATTTCACCGTGGCATTTCTTACCACCAGGGTAGAAAACAACAAGGGGCTCCTCCAGGGATGGCAAATGTGGCATCCGGAGGAACCCCCCCCCCACGTCTTTTAGAAGCCCAAAAAAAAAACGTGGGGGGGGGGGTATATTTCACGTGGTCAGGTGAAATATTTCTCAGAAATTTCTTGCCTTACCCCCCCCAAATATTCCAGGGTTAAAGGGGGGGGATTGATTTAGTAATAAGTACAAAATGCAGGAGATTTGGTACTCCAGGACTAGCACCTACTCATAGTCCAACTGCTGTGGTCCACGGGTCGGGACCCTACGCTGCCATCAGATCTGCTCGCAGTTCAGCATCTAGTTCTCCACCGCCATGGCACACGTCGAAGATGCAGTCCCCAAAGACCTCAAGTGCCCAGGAACCAAAAAAGCATTTGTCGAATTCCTTTAAGCATCCAAGAAAAAATGGCTATTCAAAAGGCCCAAATCCAATCATCCAAGATCATCCAAAATCCAAAACTTCACACTTTGCAATCTTTGAAAGTTATCCGACTTGAACACCGAACTTCGTCCGCCCTGCCTCGGATTGATTGCTCGCTTCATTTGGCAAATGCTTGGCACAAATCTGTCGGGCCTCTTGCTCGCCTTCATCACCGCAATCGTTCGGTTTTTGAACCTGGGCACCAAGATGCTGCAGTGAGCCAGGAGTTCGACCCTTGACACTCGCACCTAGACTTACTCCGCTCATGCGTCGCAGAGCGTACTGTAGCGGGAGAGAGACACCTGGGAACCTACAACATTGTAATCGCTCTCAATTGCAAAAAACAGACCACCACAAGCCTCACAACACAACACGTTGCAAATTCCAACACTCTGGAAGACCAACACACCCTGCCTAGCCGCAGTCTTCTGCTCGTTTGCAACAACATGCAACAACTATTTTTCAAAATGCCCGTTTATAACGCCATGCAGAACCCTGGCAAACCTCTCCTGCAGCACCTGTGTCTTGTACTGATTTTTGTTGCAACATTGATACTTGTCATCACATGTCTGCTTTGTTCAGCGTGTCACTTTCAACATGTTTGTACAACGTTCATCGCATTTTCCTTGTTGTTTTTACAAACCCTGATGACGTCAATTTGCACAGCAAAGGTCAGCAGCAGTACTCTATCAAACATTTCAGCATTTCGCAAGTCAGCCACCCTTGCGGCTGACATGGTCACATTGTCTTTCAACTGCAGAGAAAGAGAAAGCCGAAGAGGCAGACTTCGAAGTTACGATGCAAAGTTGGAGATGCTCAAAAGGTTATGGTAGGGTTTGGGAAAGAGAAGTGAAGTTTGTTCGACTTGGAGAACCTGCGAGCCGACACATTCTTGGGCGAATAAAAGCGGCCAACTATCATGCATCAGGTCAGTTGATGCATGATGATTTTGAAGGATGAGGTGGGCAACCTTTTCTGTAAAACAATCAGCAAAAAAAACATGAAACGTGAAGGAGAACTTTGCTGTCGAGCCCCACCACGCGTGAACAAAGGCAACAACTACTG